TTAATTTTTAATAAATCACACACATTTATTTAATTAATAAATGCAGAATAACTATACAGGCCATTTTTTTATTCAAAGACTACTAACTTTCCTTGAAAACAGTATATACTGCGCTGGTGCTAATAGAGTATAGAATCTACTCATATTATCTCACCTCTCCCTGCCTCCTCTGTAATCAATGACACACATTTCTGAAATGTCGGACCCAGGTTAGGGAAGTTTTCTGTAGTCAAGAAATGAGGTCAAAATAAGATGCAACAGCTTCCACATTCGAAAAAAGATCATTCAGTCCTAACAATTTTATCTCAAATCTATTCTTGCTTCCTCCATCCGTATGACTATCACCCTAATTTCAGATACTAAGTCCAATAGACCACACTCGATCTGCTGTACAGCCTCCTAAAGGGGTCCCTGCTTCTAATCTCCACTTCAAATCCACCTTCCGCGTGGCAGTGCCGGGATCCACCTAAAATGCTGAGCCCCTTAATGGTTCCTCTTCATGTCCAAGGTTCCGTGGGATGGAGCACCATTTGTTGCTCACCATGTTATACTTAGATATTCATGGATTTCTCATACCACCTATTCTAGCTTTGTAAGGAAGGTGATAATAAACATATTGAATTCATTGCAAAGTTCTTTATACCTACCACAATGCCAATTGCAGGAAGACATTCAATACATATATATTAATGAACCACTCTCTTTACCTACCTTCAGGATGGCATATGTGTAGCTAAAAATGTACAGCTGTGCTCACTGGTTACAGTTCAAATTCATGACCACTGCCATTAAGTGGACTTTCATCACGTTTTCTCAACCCTTTCCTCTCTCCCTCTTCCAAAGGACTAATTCAAAACTTCCTGTCTTTACTCAAGCCTGGCCCCCATCCTCCCTTGCAGCTGATGACCTTGTTCAGTTGTTTTTAGGAAAAGAAACAATGAGAAGAATATTTCTCCCCAGTCCCTATCGCTCACTACCTACATCTACACAATTAATTTACTCAAATTCCATCTTTCAAAGAGGATTTTCATGCCTATCCTAATTAATTAGCGATCCCTCAACATTCTTTATCCACCTTCTCTTCTCTATAAATCTATCATCACTTTGTATACTATAAAACTACTTACTTACTTTGTTTATTTCGCCCTCTACCTAAATATAGCTTCATGAGGGCAGGTAATTTTGTGTGATATACCCCCTGCTAGATCCCCAAATACCTGAAAGAATGACTGACACATGGTGGACATTCACTAAATACTTGTTGAAAAAATTAATATATGAAATAAGAAATGAATGAACTAATTATTCATTTGCTTTTTAATTTCTTTTGCATCATGAACCCTATTTGGAACCCCCCAAAATCATCTCCGTAAACAAAAAAAAATGTTTTTATACATGTTACATACACACACACACACACACACACATACACACACACATATATCCTATATAAAGGTAATATGCAAATCGACCGAACAGTGGAACAACTGGTCACTATGATGCACACTGACCACCAGGGGGCAGACGCTCAATGCAGGAGCTGTCCCCTTGTGGTCAGTGTGCCCAGTGGCTCACGGCTGGCGAACGCAGTGGCAGTGGTGTGAGCCTCTCCTGCCTCTGTGGCAGTCGGACATCCCCTGAGGGCTCCCAGACTCCAAGAGGGTGCAGGTTGGGCTAAGGGACCCCCCTGAGTGCACTAATTTCATGCACCTGGTCTCTAGTATATATATTATATGTTATATATGTATATCACATATCTATATCTGTCTAATTATACAGACATTTCCACATAGTTTTAAGGATTCTAGAATTGTCAGCACTTGTTTTATCCAAATGAAGTATCTGGTCATAGATGATCACAAGTATTAGTGGCACTCAAATCTATTGTTTTATTACATTTTTGTATTCTTCTTTTCCAGTTTCTAGATTGCCCAGAATAACATAGATTTCAAGAGAAAAGTCCCCCCCCCCCATACAGAAGTCTGAGTGATGAGATTTATCATCTTGAATCAAGTGAATAAGGATGTGATAATAGATAAAAACCAAGAGATATATTTAGGTTTAAGAAAAGAGAAAAAAATGTTCAGTAGGGAAGTATTTGAAGAAGGATAACAAGCAGGCGGCCAGGACCAGAAGCGGAGGGCGGCGCAGTAAGCGGGCAGCTGGGGAGGGTTCCTGGCAGAAAGCCGAGCCAGGGTCCGGAGAGTTTTCTTTCTTCTCTCTGAGTTCTCAACATTTATGCTTCCATCAAAAAACAGTATTTTTTTAAAAAAAACACCTTTCATCCTCTAACACCATAGTGCTATTCATATGAAGTTATTTAAGGATTCTTACTTTTGCTCTAAAGAAATTTTGACATCTGTTCAGAGAGAGATCCTAATATTTTACTGAAAAACAAATAAGATTTTTGCAGTTGAACAAAATTTGGAAAATTAATTTTTAAAGGCAAAAATGCACTAATCATCCCTCTAAATCCAATAAAAAGGCTTTAGGAAAGGGTCTCTTCAACTTCGGGCTAACGCCACACATGCTTTAGAGTTCTAAACAATCCAAATGTCTTACATTTGGCTCAAGTCTGTGTTAGTTTTTAATGGATAAAAGAAAAACAACTGCAGACAAGAATTTAGAGGAAGGGAATTAATGGAACAACAAGCCCTCTGAGCTCCTTCCCAGACCTAGCACCCTGGACTCAGCAGCATCACGCTGGGTCCTGCTCTCCCAAAGCTTTGAACCATTTTTATAACATCATCCTTGCTTTCTGGCAGGTAGGCTGGGCTTGGTAGGGCTTCCAAAAAATACTGCGAAAGACAGATGCTATAATTTCATTTTTCACTCCAAATATGCAGCAGATTAACTTGATTCAAAACCTAAGCATTGAAATTGTATTCTATCGGAGCAGTTGGGCAAAGAAGGGTTAGTTCCTCTTGACATAGACCAGGGAAACCCTGAGATAAGCTTTCAAGCAGACCCCTTAATTATTCCAGTAATCATTCATTATGAAATAAAGGCAGACTTAGCCAAAAGTCAGTGGATGCTGAGCTATCAGAAATTCCTAAGATCTATATTAGAGCATGACATGAAATCCTCTCAGTGTTCTTGAAGAGTTTCCACATTTGTTCCAATACAATCCCTATACAGGGATATTTTTTATGTATGGAATGTGCCTATCACTAATATAAGCACCATTGTTAAAACAGTTCCCTTGTTCCTGCATGAAACTGTTGTCTCTACTTGTCCACACTCGAGCTTTGAAGTGTGTTGTGTTTTTTAAATAAATCTTGATATTGCAATGTAACATATAGAGAGAACAGCACACACACACACAATAGGGCTTGTACTTGATGAATTATCACAAAATGGACCAGTCTGTAACCACCACCAAAGTCAAAACAGGACCCTTACCAGTATCTCAGAGGCTGTACTTGTGGCCCCTCCCATCGTATCCTTCCCTCCTCCTCAAAGACAACCACCATCCCGACTGCTTTGCATTTTAAAGCCAGAGAAACACAAGTACCATATGATTTCACTTATATGTGGAACCTAATGAACAAAATAAACTAACACAATGGAAACAGACTCACAAATACAGAGAACAGGCTAACAGTATCAGAAGGGAGGTGGGAGGGGCTGGGTGAAAAAGTGAAGAGAAAACAAACAAAAAAACTCATAGACAGACAACAGTTTGGTAATTACCAGGGGTGGAGGGGGATAGGGAAAGAAAGGTGGAGGGGGATAGAGAAAGATAGGAGAGGGTAAAGGGAAGAAATGGTGATGGAAGGAAACTTGACTTGGGGTGGTGAACACACGATACAATATACAGATGATGTGTTATAGAATTGTACCCCGGAAACTGGTATAAATGTATTATTCAATGTCATTGCAATATATTCAATTGAAAATTAATTAAAGATGGTTAAAATAATTCTTATAGCCTTCTGACATGAATAAATATACAGTACTAAATTATCGTTGTCCAATGAATAGTTTGATGTGCATTTTTTTCACCAAAGTCAAGTTCCACACAATCAGGTCTTCCTCCCTCCTATGAGGTTGATAGGAGCAGGCGGCATGGATGATGTTTCACCATTATCACACTTTCGTGAGGCCTAAGGGATCTCTGGGAAGGATTTTTCCAGGAATGTACA